TCACTCACTCACACACTTCCTATAATGTATTACCTGCTTGCCTGATAAATGGCCAGATTACAAAGACCAAACGAGCGATTTAAAGAAAAAAACTACCAGACCCACCAAGCAGACAGCAGTTGGCTCTATTTCCATACAGTTGCCATCAATACGGAGGCAGCAAGAGTATCCGCCGAGGGCTCACGTCCAGCTGAGTGGGAGGCTGGCACAGGACAGTCCTCATGAGTGGGATGGGGGACGCTTAGGCCGATTTTGTTGCTAATTGCCTCACTCACAGGAAAAAGTAAACTTTCTAGTATCTTCATGGCAGGAGGTAGGTTTTCATCTTGCAGCGAGGGGACCCCATGAGTGACGGTAGGCACCAGTGTTTCCACAGGTATGGGAGGGGGGACAGACGGACATGAGCTTCCTTGAGGTTTACGTGTCAGGAAGGCATTTCTCAGCGACTTCCTTGGGTCGTAAAACTAGAGTGGAGCTAGGAGAAGACCTACACCTCAAAGGGACAGAGAAAATATTTCTAATAACAAATGTTTTAAAGGAAAAGCTCTATGAAAAGGGAAGTCACAGTCTAGAGTCCGGGAGAAACATCCCTGCCACTCTGAGGGGAACCTTAAAGGCAGCTTGGCCATGAGAGAGAACAAGGGTTGAAATCACTTCAGTGAAAGACCTTAGAAGGCCAACAGCTCTTTGGACCCCTACAGAGGGGATCCCCTTTCCTGAATGAGGCAGAGACATGGTGCTGGTGTGTCTAGCACAGACCCGCTTGCTATTCACCAGTGGCTCATATATCAGATGTAGGGGGTGATAATTCTGAATCTGAACATGGGGTGATGGGTGGGGCATTTGCTCCTTTTTGTAATTGCCAGGATGGATGGATCTCTCCCTGTTCTGTCTGACACACTCTCATCTCATCTTCAAAGTACACCAAGTCCTCTCAACCCACTCACTCCCTGAATCCTTTTACTACACCATTTACAGCTGAAGCCATCAGTGGATGAATACACCTTACTTTGTCTTCAACCTTTGAGAACCCTTTGATGGGATGTACCAGCATACCAGATTATTTAAACAGTAGGAAAAGAATTTAGTAGATATCAAATGTCAACCTAATTGTTGGAATCAGACCCAGAATGACAACCTGCTCTTCTTGAATTTTGGGTTGCTCGGTTTTCTGCTGGTGAGAGCGAAGGCAATTATAGAAATTGTCCTTGTGGAAGTCTATGGACACTGGGTTAAACCTGAATACAACAGAGTGCAAAGAACGAAGGGGCCACACCCACTGTGAACTCAGCTATCTAAGTCCTCCAGCAAAAAATTACCACAGAGTCATAATGTCAAACTGGGGTTTATTGCTCGTGGCATTGGGGTAGAGCATAGCGAATTGCAGAGAGGTGTTTCAGTATGGGGGTATTAGCAAGTCATGTCCTAGAGCTTGTACTTCTGTTGGGTAGTTTAGAAGTGAGAGTAGACTCCTACTGGCTATGAAGCAGCAATCGCTCACTAGAGAAGAGAAAGGGCCACATGTTTTTTTTTTTCCTTTGCACAATTTTGTTTTCCGTTGTACTGAAACAAGTCATACACTGATCTGTTTCTTTTTTTAACCTCACTTCAACATAGTCATGAGTGACCATGATGTCTGTTTTTGTAAGAGTGTTCAACAAAACAATTTGTCCCAGTCGTGAGAGCGCAGACACCAGCAACTCCGTTGGGTGTTCAGTGGGCCTTTGTGCTGGGTCATCGGCCCAGGTGTTGTGTATAACAGTAATCAGGGGTCAGTTCACCGTGTCTGTTACCGGGTTGACTACTCATGGGATCACCCCACCCAACCACACACAAAAGTACCACTTTGATGCTGCTCTTTTTTATTGCTTAGTTAATCAGAGAAAATGATGAGGAGCAAGGGGGATAGGAGACAGGTGTAGTTGAGTCAGGTCAAAGGAAGGGAGGTCGGCCCAGGCCAGCCAATCACATGCAGAAGGTCCAGGCTGATTCCATCTCAGCTGCGTCATTTTATGCTGGGATGTTGCCACCCAAGATGCTCTTTAAAACTGCAAGAGGGAAAAAGCTCGTGAGATGTTGTCCAAAGTACTGTGGATTTCAGTCTGTAGTCCCATTCTGCTCCCCACTCTGTGCTGGCGAATCTCTCACACCCCACACATGTGGCCTGTACCCCACTCTTGTATGCATAAAGAAATAAATTTTTAAAATATATAAAAGCATGAAGTATAAACCAGCATTCAAAGGATCGTCTAGGCTGTCACTGTTTAGGCTCAAACCGCCCCCAGTTACTGCCGGGTGCCAGAGCAGCTGTCTCTGGATTTCGCCCATTGACTCCCTGTTCCACGCTCATTCCCAGAAGCTCCTGCCAGGGGCGAAGGGAGTGTGAAGGGACATGGCCCCCGACACAGTCTTACAGTCCACACAGGTGACACTCGCTCCCTGGTGAGCTGTGAGCTGCGGGCAAGGGGAAGGCCAGGACCAGGGAGGCCGCTCCCCGGGGCCCCCAGGGCCCTCCACGGCTCCCCGGGCCCCAGTATCCTCTGAGTGCCCTTCCCATGAAACCTGTGTGGGGTTTTGGGAACCAGCAGCGCTGGCAACAAGGGGTCTTCCGACACCGGGGTGACGGGGCCCCCGACCTGGCCACCGCGC